ACAAGTGGCTGGTCCTCCTGTAGTCCCCAGAAGCTGGGTGATACAGCTGACCTCCATCTATACCACAGATCTTCCAACAGCATGCTCAAGCCATTAGATGGGGTGGTTGATGGTGATCGTTTGGGTCCCAGCCAAAATCTACCAATTATCATGCCCTTGGAGCCACTAACACAATGAAGCAGTGTGTGAAGACCATTGGAAATGCAGTAAGGCTGCCACACCCAAGATCACCATTTTTATTCCTAGAAAGTGGGGGGAGATACTGTGATGACAGGATGCAGGGCTGCTAATAGAAACTACAGGGCCAACCTGACAGCCCCCCCTTAAAAAAAACACAGTTTACTATGCTTTAGTTATGAACGAGTACAGTGAGTGATCAGTACCAATCACCTATTGCGTTCATTCAGGAAACAAAGGGCTGGTAAATGTGACATATTTGGGGGCCCTCCCCCACTCTCTATCCTCAAGGATCCTATTGTGCGCTTGCAGCTGCCGGTGGAAAGTAGAGGAGGGAAGCTGGTAGCACTGTGGGGGTAGGGGCACACAAGGGGGCCTGGGCAGCAGGGGGAAACGTATGGTGCACTGGAAAGGTGGTGGGTGTGGAACAATTACTGGAACTGATCCTCTGTAGGGCTCTCTCTGCAGCAGCTGCCAGCGGAAGGGAGAGGAGACAAAGCCATCTCTCAGCTGCTGCAGAAGAGAGCCATAGAGAGGATCGGTTCCAGTAATTGCCACCCCACCATGTCAATCACCCTCCCTGCCCACACCAGATTCACCCTGCTGCCTGGGCCCTGTACAGGAGGATTGGTGGTACCCCCTTACCCACGGCCCTGACAAGATGTCTCCCCTGAATCACAATGGCACCCCATACACACTAGACATGTGTGGTTTGTTTCATTCAGAATTAGAATTCAGATTAATTTTTTGTTATTTATACATTTGGATGTCTCCAGATTACATTAGTAATGAATCTGAAATAATGAAACGAAATTCAGACGAAATTCAGATGAAATTTGAATTTAATTCTTATATGAACTAAATAGAATAGAATATAAAAGAACAGAATAGATTAGATTAGAATAGAATAGAAAATAAAAGAATGCAATCGAAAACAGTAGAATACAATGTAAAATAATAGATTAGAATAAAATAGAGAAGAAAAGAATATAATTGAATAGAAAAGAATAGAATAGAATAGAAAAAAACAACAAAATAGAATCAAATAGAAATAATATAACTGTCTTCTGAAATTCAGATTTCAAATAGAATAAATTAAAAATTGAATAGAATAGATTAAATAGAATATAAAAGAATAGAATAGAATAGAAAAAATAGAATAGAATAAAAAAACCAATAGAATGAAACAAAATAGAAAGACTATACCTTTTTCGAATATAGAATAGAATAAATTTGAATTTCAATAGAATAGATTAGAATAGAATAGAAAAAAAGAATAGAGAGGAATAGAAAAAAACAAAAGAATAGACCAAAATAGAAAGAATATAACTGCCTTCTGAAATTTGAATTTCAAATAGAATACATTCGAATTTGAAAAGAATGGAAAAAACAATAGAAAGAATATAACCATCTTCCGAAATTCGAACTTCGTACAGAATAAATTCAAGTTCAAATAGATTAGAAAAGAAGAGAATATAAAAGAAAAGAATAGAATAAAATAGAAAGTATTTAACTGTCTTCCAAAATTTAAATAGAATAACTTTGAATAGAATATATTAGAAGAAAATAGAAAATAATAGAATAGAAAAGAATAGTAATGAATAGAATAGAATAAAAAAAATAGAATAGTATAAAATAGAATATAACGGTCTTCCGAAGTTCGAATTTTGAATAGTATAAATTCAAAAGGCATAGAATAGAAAAGAATGGGATAGAAAATAATTGAATACAGGGGCGGACTGACCATTTGGAAACTCGGGCACTGCCCGAGGGCCCGGGGTCCATAGGGGGCCCCATGAGATGCCCCTGGTACCTTTTTCATAGGTTTTTTTGAGTTTGGGCAAGGACACGGGGGCCCCATGATCCTCTATTGCCCGGGGGCCCCATGAGTTGTCATTCTGTCCCTGATTGAATAGATTAAAAAAATACAATAAAATAGAAAGAATATAACTGTCTTCTGAAATTCGAATAGAATAAATTTGAATAAAATAGAAAAAAAATTGAATAGAAAAGGAATAGTATAGAATAAAATAGAAATAACCCACTGACACCAATCTTACTGAAGCCAGTGCAAAGGGGGAGATCCCCAGTGATGGCAGTGCAAAGAAGGGGGTACTCCATTACCATTAATGATAAGAGAGGTTCCCTAGTGATGCTAATGCCAAGCAGGGGGTCCATTACTGATGCCAATGCTAAGGGGAGTTACCCACAGATTCCAATACAAAGGGACAGGTTTCCCCCTGAGGTCAGTGCTAACAGAGATTCCCCATTGAATCTAATGCTAGGGGTTCCCTTTGATGCCAGTTCTAAGGAGGGTTTCCCCACTCAAGCGAATGCTAAGCTAAGATGGTACCCACTGACACCAGTCCGATGAGAGGAGAGATCCCCACTAATGCTGGTGCTAAGTGGGGGTTACTTAAACAAATTCTGGAAGGGGGGGGGGTCCACAGATACTAATGGGGAGTTACGAGCTACTGACAACAGGTAGGAGGATATTCACTGACACCAATGCTAAGGGAGGGGTTTCCTTTTGATGCCAGTTCTAAGCTCCCCACTAATACCAATCCTCAAAGAGGGGGCTCCCCGCTAATATCAATCCTAAAGGAGGGGGGCTCCCCACTAATATCAATCCTAAAAGAGAGGTGCTCCCCACTAATATCAATCCTAAAGGAGGGGGCACTCCACTAATATCAATCTTAAAGGAGGAGGGCTCCCCACTAATATCAATCCTAAAGGAGGAGGGCTCCCTACTAATATCAATCCTAAAAGAGAGGGGCTCCCTACTAATATCAATCCTAAAAGAGAGGTGCTCCCTACTAATATCAATCCTAAAAGAGAAGTGCTCCCCACTAATATCAATCCTAAAGGAGAGGGGATCCCCACTAATATCAATCCTAAAGGAGAGGGGCTCCCTACTAATATCAATCCTAAAGGAGGAGGGATCCCTACTAATATCAATCCTAAAGGAGAGGGGATCCCCACTAATATTAATCCTAAAGAAGAGGGGGCTCCCCACTAATATCAATCCTAAAGGAGGGGGGATCCCCACTAATATCAAACCTAAAGGAGGGGGCACCCCACTAATATCAATTCTAAAGGAGGAGGGCTCCCTGCTAATATCAATCCTAAAGGAGGGTACGTCCCACTAATATCAATCCTAAAGGAGGGGGGATCCCCACTAATATCAATCCTAAAGGAGGGTACTCCCCACTAATATCAATCCTAAAAGAGGGGGCTCTTCACTAATATCAAACCTAAAGGAGGAGGCACCCCACTAATATCAATCCTAAAGGAGGGGTGCTCCCCACTAATATCAATCCTAAAGGAGGAGGGATCCCCACTAATATCAATCCTAAAGTAGGGGGCTCCCCACTAATATCAATCCTAAAGTAGGGGGGCTCCCCACTAATATCAATCCTAAGGGAGAGGAGCTCCCCACTCATGCCAGTGCTAAAGGGGACTCCTCACTGACCCCAATGCTAAGGTGACGTTTATCACTAAGGGCTCATGTACACTGCAGCTGATAACTGACATTCAGGAGCTTTTCTGCCTTTTTTTTCAGCAGCCCCTGAACTCTCCCTAATGTTTTCCTATGTGTCCATGTACACATCATCGTTTACAGTCATTTGCAGGCAGTTGAGTTTACAGTCGTTTTTTTTTAATGCACCAAACTGGCGTTCAGGAGTAGATTTTATCAGCGTTTCAAACGCCAAATGCTTGTAAATGCGTGTAAATGCAGCTAACTGCTTTTAGAAGCATTTGCGTTTAGAAGCGTTTTTTAACTGTTCCATGTCCAGATGCTGTCCAGAGCCTTTTTTCATCATCAGAAATGGATGCAAAGCATTTCCATGTATTCAAATGGACCCGGTACACCAGCGCAGTCAGTTCCAGGTTTCGTGGGAAGGAAACAATGGTAGAACATTCTGCATTATGCTCATGATGGGATCCATAGTGAATACAACCAGGAAAGACAGGTAATCTCAACACATACTGCGCTCTCTGCTTCTGCTCTCTCTATTTCTCACAAAATCTCTGAAATAGTTATTTTTTACTGTTTTTCAGTGCATTCTGGGCATTTTGGAAGGTCTCCTGAGGTTATCTTAAAAAACCGCTTCTAAACATAAACACTCATAAATGCGCATAAACGTGGTATGCAAACACGGCCAAACAGACATTTTTAACCTACGTTTTCCAGCAGTTTCCATCGTTCAGAAGAGTTTTCCAAGCATCACGTGTACATGGAGCCTACACAAATTCTAAGGGGTGCTGGATATTGTCTCTTTTTTTAAAGTGGAACTTCATTCTCTAAGCCAACATTGACTATCTGCAATCCTTATGCTGCTAGCATGAGTAAATAGATAAGAAGATATCTGCATGCCTGAGCTAAGGGGAGAGGGATTCCAGGAAGTAAATGCTGTATGAATCATTTTCCCATACTCAAAATGGCCGCAGCTAGACATGCTATGGGAGTGTTTGTTTTTTTTTAAAGTGATTTCTCTGGAATATGAAGAATGAAGACATGGATAGATGGGGGAGTTTGCTTTTATTAAAAATGAATGAATTAGTGTGTTTAATCTGTGGTGCTCATATACAGTGTAGTCTCCTTTTATCTTCTAAAGTTGGGAGCAATGTGAGAGGAAATCTCCCTAATGGGGACACAGACTGCAATAAAACGCGACAAAGGATCTAACCGTTCTCTGTACAAAATATGGGCATTTGCCCTCAGCAATCATGGCGTCGAAGCCGCCCCTGACTGACTAGAGTGTGAACCAATGAGAGGAAACAGATGGGGAGGCGGGCTGAGGACGTCACTTCCCGAGTGTGACACCTCAGCAGGCTGCCGGCTTTCCCCTCCCCTTTCGCTGTGTATGGTGTTCCGTGCCCTGGGCGCCCTGCCCCGCCTCTCTCCGCTGTCTGCCCGCTCTCTGCTCGTTGCTGTCATGAAGCCGCTCGTGGTGTTCGTGCTGGGCGGGCCCGGCGCCGGGAAGGGGACTCAGTGTGAGAAGATAGTGGAGGTAAGTGACCAGCAATGCTGTGACCTCGCTGACTGCGGTCACCGGCGCCTGTGCCACGGAGAGGCAGCACCGGAATACTCCGGTCTGTACAGATATAACCTCCCCTGTGATAGAAGACCTGTATAGTCCCCTCTGCCCTGCCTGGGCTCACCTACCTTCACTCTCTAATAGGAATACTCCCCCCCCCCCCCCACCATGGTTTCTTCCTACACCTCTTTAGGACATGGGGGGTGGAGGAAGGGACCACTGCAGGGGAGGGGAGGGAACAGGCACCTGACACCACCAGAAGTGTCAAATTTTAGAAGCAGTGGCCATGGAGTCAAAGCTTCACAGATTGGAGACCGTCCTTTTAGCCTCTCATCCAATCACTGTACAGACCATGCCACCCCAACCTCCGCAGCATCCCCAAAACACGCCCCTTCTGAAGTTCCGCTGTAACAAACCGTGAGCAGGCAGGCTTTACATGTGATGTCTTATCTGCACCTAAACGCCCCTCCGTGTCTTCTGCGGTGCTGCAAACTGAGGTGCGTGTGCACAGCTTCCAACGCCAGCCGGGCTCTGCGTGCCGCGGTGACTGATGCATGTACAGGAGTGACATCATCCCGCGCCAGCCAATGAAGAGGCTCCAGGACCAGCACTCAGAAGAAGATGCTGGTGAGGGACCATTGGATGGGTGACTATCCACCCTTTAGTTCTGCTTTATCCAATGACACCCCAAAGCTTCTCCTCCACTCCCGGCTCATCTCTCACCTCCACTACTGCAGCTCCCTCCTCATTGGCTTACCTTTACATAGACTGCCCCCCCTTCAGTCCATCATGAGCATTGCTGCCAGACTCCACATTACCAACCATGTGTGCCGCCCCTCTCTGCCAATCCTTCCACTGGCTTCCCCTCACCCAACAAATTAAGGTGATTCTAAAGATCGTCATTGAAATAAATATAAACCGTTTATACTTACCTGCTCTGTGTAATGGTTTTGCACAGAGCAGCCCCAAGCCTCTTCTTTTTTGGGTCCCCCGCAGGTGATCCTGTCTCCACCCTTCCTGCCAAGTGTCCCCAGTAACATGCTGCTTGCTATGGGGGCACTAGTGCTGGCTCGCTCCTGAGCTGCTCACCTATGAATAGACGTTGTCCATTCACACACAGAGCGCAGCTTGGCCCAAACCCCCGCTTTCTCTTCATTGGCACACTGGCTGTGATTGACAGCAGTGGGAGCCAATGGTCGCTCCTTGTTTGGTAGATGATGATGGTTAGCATAATGGCTTGCAGCAAGGTGGAAGTGCTAACTGCTTCTTGGTTCAAATCCTGGGCAGGACACTATCTGCATGGAGTTTGCATGCTCCCCCTGTGCTTGTGTGGGTTTCCTTCCACACGCCAAAGACATGCTGAACAGCTAATCGGCTCCGGTCTGTATCGTCCCTTTAGATTGTAAGCTCCTGGAGGACAGGGACTGAAGAGAATGTACAGTATGTAAAGTGCTGTGTACATTGTCAGCTTTGTATAAAGTCCCTATAATAAAATGCTTATCACCTAGGTGGGGGGGGGGACTGCTAATACAGGATAACGGGTCACGCCCATCCTGGTCATAGTCAACGTGTGAGCTGGCAGCTATCAGGTATGGGGATGTGTCACCGGCAGTAGCCTGGAACTTCTGCGATTCTTTGTATCTGGTTCACATTCTATCTGGATGCAGTACTGGTCTGAGCAGATACAAATCACTTGCTGGCCATGACCATCGTCAGCTGATCTGCAGAACACAAGGAGCTTCTGAAGCATTTATTTTGTATCCAACGTCAGATGCTGGAATCTGTGACAGACCTATCACTGACCACAATTCAGGTTTTCCTGGTAATGGACAGGCCCTACTTGTCAGAATTCAAAGTTTCCTTTTATTAAAAGTTCTTCAAAGATTGTTACATACAGAATAAACAGAGTGCCATCAGGACCGTGATACTTTTAGGGTCCTTTCACACCGTACTGCACATAACTTATTGTAACGCATCCAACATGCATCTGTGTTCTGTACATTTAACATACATTGTTATTCACATTGCATTTTTATGTGACAGGTCCCTGGGAGGGTTGAAGTGGTAACAGCAGTAAGTTTTTATATATCTTTCAGGTTGTGTTTCATTACAATGCAGACAGGTTGCATTCCAAGGCAGGATTAAACTTTTTTAATGCCCCAGGTGAATTAAGCCATAATGTGCTAGTATGCAGCAGCACATATTTGCACATTATGGCAGGTTTACCTGTGAGATGAAGCCCTCCAGCACTGAGCTGTCACCACTCCCTCTGGTCGCAGATGCTTCCATCTTCACCCATTCTTCCTTCTGAGTTTGCTCTCTCTGATTACTTGAATGGCCTGGTCACAGCATTAAAGTACACTGAGCTGCGCATGCGTTACAGCTAAGAGGCGGGGGAAAGCATTTATGACAAAGACCTACCTGTTGGCAGTTTAATTAAACTTTAATTCCACTTTAAGGGCTAGTTCACACTATAGAAACGCAGTCCAGATGGATTCCGGATGCGTTTCTCCATGTGCATTTTTGATGCTTTCCCGTTAATTTTCCCCTCTTTTTCAATTTAAATATGGACACGTGGTCCAGTGTGGGTTTTTTTTTTTCTGCGTTTTTGATGCACTTTACCATGTTCCAGTACAGTTCTGTGCAGGAAAAATGCAGCCTGTTCTACTTTTTTTTTTCCTGCAACTGGAACACACTGGAAATTCAAGCCCTGATGTGAACTATGACATTGACAACCATATAACCTTCTTTCTCTGTATTTTGGATGCAGAGAAAAAGCAGCTGAAACACGTAGTGTGAACTGGTCCTAAGGCTCAGTTCACACTAGTGCGACTCAGGTCGTGCAAATTTCACTTTCATGTGACTTAATATACTTTATGGCATTCAAGTCGCAAGAAAGCCTCATCAAAGTAGTGCAGGAACCTTTTTTAAAGACATTGACTTTAGTCACATCGATTGGAATGGGTGCCATTGAAATAAATGGGTTTTAAGTTGTCATGCGACTTTGTTTTGCAAGTTGCATGACCAGGCGCACTAGTATGAATGGAGTCTAATGCAGCACATATGTACACAACATTGTGGTGTTAATGAGGCTCATGGAGAACCATTGTTTTGTACCCTTGCAGTGACCTGCATTGATCTGGGTGTGCAAAAACACAGGTCGCTGCACATGGTGTGAACAAGCTCTTAAAGTATATGTGAACCCTCACCTTGTAAAACAACCCATACAGTTGAAAATAGAAATGAAAGGCAAAACATTTGTGCATTGATATAAACAATTGAGTACTGTCCGTGATACTTTTTTTATTTGCACTAACATACAATTTTGAGGACAAGCTTTCGAGGAATGTCCCCTTCTTCAGGTCTAAGCAGTACTGAAACAAAGATTTAGCAGAATGTTAGAAGAGATGGGAAAAAAAAAAAACAGATAAGACTCAGCAAAAGCAAAGTGGGGGGGGGGGGGGAGACAACACTAGCAGAGGCATTAATGCTTGAGCTGATAGTCCTAGGGAATCCTATGTCCAAATTCAGGCCGTTATCTCCTGTGTCAAATAGAATTATTCTTAGTTCAAAAGTTTTTTTAGTTTTTTTTTTTTTCCCCATCTCTTCTAACATTCTGCTAAATCTTTGTTTCAGTACTGCTTAGACCTGAAGAAGGGGACATTCCCCGAAAGCTTGTCCTCAAAATTGTATGTTAGTGTAAATACAAAAAGTATCACGGACAGTACTCAATTGTTCCTGTCGCAAATGCACTAATAGGGCTACAATCACCTCAGTGCATTGATATAAAGAAATTATAAACCCCATTTTCCCTCTATTTTTTATAAGTGATCACATACTGGAGCAGCACAGTGGCTAAATGGTTAGTATTTCCACCCGGCAGTACTAGGGTTGTTGGTTCGAATCTCAACCACTGCACCACTTGCCTGGAGTTTTGCATGTTCTCCCTGTGCCTGCATGGGTTTCCTCCAGGTACTCTGGTTTCCTTCCACACTCCAAAGACATGCTGGTTGGTTATTAGGATCCTGTCTGAATTGGCCCCAGTATGTGTATGTATGAATGTGAGTTAGGGACCTTAGATTTAATATATGTGTAAAACACTAATTTTCCCAACTATTTTATAAGCACACTTCACCTCTACCCTTAGAGGTGTACAATTATAAATAAAAATATGCTCAGTGATCAACAATAAAGTACTTTTCCTTATATAATCCCAAAAATCCAAGATCTGTAAATAAAGTCCAATTTTAAATTAGAGTCCAATAAAGAAAATACGTGTAGTCCAAAAGTTACTTCCAGTGTAAAAAACAAAAAAAACATACAAACGAACGAAAACTCTCCACTGCTTGTAAACCTTTGATTACCTCAAAAAAAAGAAAATTAACATAGTGCATTATCCTTTATAAAAATCTCATTAGCCTGTAAGATTAATTCAATCTTATTCACCCAAGTGAAAACAAGTGTATATATCAAAAACGCATACACATGTGATATACTGTGCAAAACCATGCATGTGAAACACTCTGCTGTGCTACAAACTCATAACACAGTGCACACTTCTATTGGGGTAAGGAATATATACCCTTACCAATGTTCAAAGCAATATATGTTTTATGATCTTAATCCACAGAAAATTTCTCTGGTGGTATAAATCTTTGTATGGATATCCTCTGGATTAGCTTTATATGGATCCTTCCCCCTAGTAACTTGGGAGTGCTTCCACCATATACGTCAGCCCGATATCCATATACAAGGAAGAAATCATAGCGTAATACTGCCACATACTTAGATCAAAAAGCTTTTAATTATCCTGCTTACATTAAAACATCTTTAATCGCACATAGCATAACAAGACCTGTCTGCCATCCGGAATCCAGGAGAGTCCCAATCGTAACTCACAGCCGAGATTTTGCCCTCTCCAAGATGGCCGCCACTCTACTTCCGGAATTCTCGTATGCGTCTGACGTCACCTC